CTGTCTACCATCCGGCTACCTAAGCCTCCAATTGATCTGTGTTGATTCGGCTGAAAGAGGAGTACTGATGGCCTCTGCACCCTCATGCCCTATCCTCATCGTAGGAGCCCTATCCTCATCGTAGGATTTGTGTGTCTCAACGCCGTAGTAGGAATGCCATATCAGATTGAAGCACGGAGCCTAGCCAATCAAGCACACACAGACACATCAGACAGTCGATTAAATCAACCCACATCACAGTGCCTTACGGGCAGGCCATTGCCACATAGAAGAAGGCTTTGGTAAGGTTGGCTTGATGAGAATATACCATGTATGCCGCTGCATGGCACTCCATGAGAAGATTCTCCGCATTGGTTGGAGAGCAGAGCATGCTTTTTTAGCGTTATGAGAGCACAGCGTGTTATGGCGTCCAACTCCAGATTAGCAGACCCAAGTGCATGCTTTTTTGGTTCTGCATCATGCACATCAGCGATGGACAGATGCAGTCCCAAGAAAAATAAAAAAACAACTCCAAGTGCAGCCTATGCTATTCCGTCATTGAAGGAAGGATCGAGAGCGCTCAAGAGGGTATCAGATGTTTCAATTCTTATGATTTTATTCTCTTTCCCGAGTTTTGTTATAACTTGGTGCCGTATTATATTTCGTTCCTTCTTACATAATAGTATGTACACTATATAATGCAATTTATAGCCTGAGAAAGCAATAACGTTGTTGGCCTAGCGCCCTGGACGCCATAATGCATGGAGACGCGTTGTTCCCCAAGGCACGACTGCTTCCGTCCCATTGAATAGACCAAGAAAATCAGGAGCTTCATCGAGACATGTTGAGGTATGCAATCTTCTCTTATATACAAATGATATTCATAATGTACATATTAATTTAGATTGTGCAATGCACAGATGCAGGCGTAAATATAAGCATGAACCGAAGCATGTGTTGGTTGCTCCATGGATGGTACACTGCATAAATTTATAAATATATAATAGTACAATTTATAGCATACATTATCACAATCTGTCCTTTAAATTACAAATTTTGTTCCCTACCAGTAGTAGTAAACAATCCCCTATCTATTGTCTCATCTCAAAATCTGATGCCTTAATGCTTTGGCCGTGTGAGTTGCCAGATCTTAGTTTCTCTTGGGCTATAGCGCTTGCTGGGTCTTCAAGCAGGAGTAGCTTCATTGTCTACAGCACGGAAATGTGTGGTGTCAAGAAGCTTCAATTGCCAACGATGGGCTCACATCCATCTCTATAGCATAAACATCATGCACGTCATTGATGCATGCCTATATGGGTATAGTGATGAAACGTGATTAGCACACTAGGACGTCTGACACCAATAGATTGGTATTGATTGGTGCTATCATATATTTGTATTGATCTTTGACCACATGGAACTGGAATCCATGTAATATCTTTGTGGCCATGATGATACTGAAATGAGTCATGTAGGTGGATTGGTTGCACGGTATATGCATGATATAAAATCTAAAATTGATAAAAAAATGGAATATGAAAAGTAGAAAAAGCACATGATATGTTAGCCTTCAGAATTGTTTCTGATTTTCAGCTATTCGACCCACCGGAGGTTATTTCTTCTTCTCAGATCCATTCTTCTCACATCGAAGGTTTGAATATAGAATTCTTATTAGTATTCTTCTACGATTACTAACCTATACAATGAATTTGTAACCAAGATCATAACCTAACCTTGACGTACATGGAGAAAAAGTAACACGAAACGGCATAGAAGCAGTTTGTTTCAACCGTCCTGATGTGGGCCTCTGTCATGGTCGAGGTGCATCAAGTGATGGTTCAGAGTCCAGAAGAGAATGTCCAATTGCCAAGAATAGATTTGATCTGGGGAACGTTACATTTTGACAAATATTTGTCCCGGAATTTTTTGGACCAGATGGATACAAGATACCAATGAAATAGAACAGTTGAAGTTACGCGTTCTTTTGTTTCGTATTAATGTGCAATAATTTTGTTATTGAAAACATGAAAAAGTTTTCTCATCATTAGTAAACTATTAAAAGTTTTAATATTGGACAAATATATAGTCTAACTTCACCATGATTTTTCTAGGATACCGTCGCACATGGTTTTGAGAAAAAATAACATGGGGGAAACCTGTACAAGGTATTTATGAACACGACTTGCCAAGAAATATATATTCTCAAACCATTGCATGGCTGTCGCAAGAATACAGGACATGATATGGTGTTGTAAAAAGCACAAAGTAGACGACTTTATGCCACAGATCCTAGAATGATGACAACCATGATTGTGAATATTTAGATTTTGTTGGCAATTACTTTCATTCTTGGAAATAGTGAAAGAATACTAAATATTTTGCTCACGACTAAAGTTTCAGATAATCATCAATGGTTATTCAAATGGTGAAAATCTGTACATGGTAATTTTCAACATGATTTACAACTTTGGTAATATATTAACAAAGCTTCAGCTATAATAAGACATCGTTGTATTAGCTATTTATGTAGGACAGGTCAACGGAACACATGCAAATCATGGAATTTACAAAATTTTAGAAATTGGGTTGTCAATCGGGTGTCCCAATACACAACTGGTGGGTATAACATATAGTTGCTGACGACTTTTACTGTTGCCATATGCAGCCAAAATATAAGGCCAGAGAAGATTAGACTTAACAAACTGATGAAGATGTTATCACACAGTTTATTACATGAACACTACAAACTAGAGACAAGTGATCTATACCGACAACTTCGATAGTGTTGGAGCAGCAAAAATGATTTGGTAAGTCAAAACATTCTAGAAAGAAAAATTGCTTAGTGTTGGAGACTGAAGAAATAGAGATAAGATATTTTTTCCGATAATGTAGTGTATTATTTAACAAGAACTAGTAAGCATGCACGTGCAACGCACGTCTCCGCCAATACACATAAAATTCATGTGAGTATAAAGTTTAAATTTGAATTCTATAAATTCTGGAAAATAGAACAAGGCATAAAAAAGAAAAGAAAATTGATGTACAACAATATGCATTTTTAACATCAACTCGTAAATGATGTAAATGATTCATGAACATAATATCAGATGAACATAAATATAGTGAGTAATCATGCATGCAGGGCATGTCTCAAATGATTTATACAATAAATCAAACATAAGGGACCTTACAAATTTTATGGTAAAAGAACCAATAGCAGAAACTGATGTGTTGCAATGCAACCTAAGGAAAATTAGATACATCTTTTGTCTAATACGCGTAAGAAATTTTCTCACAAACCGGGATGTCTTCTTAAGATTGGCGCCCTTAAACTTTGGTAAGTATATCAAATACTGGCATAAATGGAGGAAGCTGCTAGTATTTCACATCATAGTGGCTACTATTAAACACATGCTATTGGATCATGCACGCACACTGGCAGAGCGCCTTGTTTTCATGTTCAACTTTGACTGTACCGTTGATGGTCTGGTTCAGCACAAGCAGTGGCACAACTTTAGAAGTCAAATTTCAATAATCTTTATTCAAGAGGTTAACTGAATTAAAAATATCATGAGTAACAAACATTCATCCTGGTGCTATTGTTATAAATAAATGTGCATTTATAGAAAATACCTGAATGAGAGGTATCTTTTTTCACTAATTTCTTGTTAGGACAGAAAAGTAGAAGTACCTTTGCTGAATCCCTCAAGTAGTAGAAGGGGTCACTGCTTGATTGTGAACATGAACTCCTGACCGGTTTTCAATGAGGCAAATCTTGAATCCTAATTTCTGGGCCTGAAGATGTTAAATCTAGCTTATATCAGAGCAAATAAGTTGGAATATGATGAAAGAAGGGTGGCATAAAAAGGTTTAATTACAATATTTATTGATAGAGCAAAATCATGTGCTTGCATGGGCATGCCAGACATATAATTGACTCCTCCATAAGAGTCTACAAGCATGGTCTCAACTCTTTCACCAACTCAATAACTTTCTGGTGTGATGCATGGTCTCCATGTGACATATTAGCCGAGCCACATTGATGCCATCCTCAGCAACATCCTAGATAATCTCCCTCGTGTTAGTTGAGGGACCAACTGTGCACATAATCCTCATTTAGTGCCTAACATTTGGTTTAAGACCACCACATACACATTGGCTGTTGTACTATTATTTGATGAATAGCCATAAGATGCTGGTAGTTCTCGTTTTCCCGTCAAGAAGTGTTCTTACAATTAATTTCAATGCATCAATTCATAAGGTTCCGTAACCACATAACAATGCACTATATTCAACTTAGTTAGCGTACAACAATTAGTAGAGATACATGACGTGATCATGTTGCACTTTACAGTACTAAGAAGACAACATGAATTAATACCAAATGCATTTGATTAAACTACAGCTCACTCGAAAAACAGTTGCTATGTGCTCTCACCATAGAGCACAGATCATAACTTATAATTCAGAGATACGTGTGTGCTCTTAGTGGGCACCTCGCTGCTATCTTCTCAAAAGAGAAATTACCTTGAGATTCTGGAAGCTGTCACCGGTCCAGATGGAGATCTTGCTCGGCGTGTAGCTCTCATCCAGCTTGAAATCCATGTAGAGAGTAACAAGCTCGCCCCAACAACAAATTCAGAACAGAAAAAGGATCCCACACATAGAAGATTAGATATGTGTTTCGAATGGATGCCCTCATACAGGTGGCAGGAGGAAATCAAGATCGACTTTAAGTCTAAAAGCATGCCCAGATACAACCGAACTAATCAATGTGCGTTATATAATAACAGGTAAAAGCGCGCTGTGACTCGCTCTCTCGCCTCGCTTGCTCTCCGTCACTACTTGACGCAACAAACACACCATATACAATTAGATTCGATCGAGTCTGCTTGGAAATCGATCTAGTCACATGGTATTCAAGTATTAGCATACTATTTTGATACGTCTTGCATGTAGAAACTGCTCTGTTTTTATTGAAGACTTGATGCACAATAGTTTGCACATGATTAGGCTCCTAATTAACTACTCTGGTAACTCTTTGGTTTATTGAAGACTCGATGGAAGGAATCACGCACCATCCAAACAAAATTGAGCGGAAGGCAATGGAAGATCGTTGACTTGTCGTGGTTACCTGAAACTCGATGGTGACCAGGTGTGGCTGCACACCGTCTGACCTGAGAAATATAAAATCCGCCAATGATGAGGGTGCCCCTGCAGTTTGGAATATCAGCGATGATCAAAGAAGAAAAGCTATACCGTGGTGTTGGGGTGGAATGAGATAATGACAGGGTCAGCTGATCCAACATTTATCTGTTTCGAGAAGAAAAGGATAAACCATTTTCAATATACCACTGAAGTTTATGTGCATTACATTCAGTCACTCAATATGATTATATGACTCGAGCAAAATGTCCAATCGTGCATGCCCCAAATACCAAAACAGTCTTCATGTTGCATCTTAGGAATGAGTTTAAATAACAAGACCACAAGTAAAATCTCACTCAGGCGTCAGGAATCAGAATTGTATTGTCCGTGGAGAATTATCATACAATACAACTGCATTAATAAAACATTTGATTGGTGGAGGTACAGGCTTCCGGTATCAAAGAACCGAAAAATGTGTCAGTTTCATGCTTTATGAAACATCACTTATCAGCTAGTGAAATGCCCTCGAGATGAAGAGCAAAATAGGAGAAATAATAGTTTTCACTAAGATATGGAAAACAAATCATGGGACTCAAGATGAAGATTAACTTCAGTACCATAAATGCAAAGATTTGCAATGCCGTAAAAACTAATGCAGCTTACCGCCATATCCCAGAAGGATTTGCCGTAGATAGTGCAAGTGTAGTGACTGAAAGTGTATGCCTGGGACTTACATTTGTCAGAACCATTTTTTACAGCCAGTAGCCAGATATATATTATCAGAAAAAACAAATTATTATTTTACTTGCTAATACCTGCAAGCAAGTTGAATGCATGGAGTGACCAGAAAGAACAGCTCTAACTTCCTTGCTTGATGTGAATAGGAAGTCACAACAGATTGGACAGTTTGTCTCTAGCCCCTTCTTCAAACATCTGTGAATCAGAAAGAAAAAGGAAATCTGAATCAGCCAAGAACAGCAAGGAACCACGACTGCAGAAAAGATTCCTATGCAGAGACGGTATTCCTAGAACTTGACATGGCCAGCATATTATTCACCGTGGCTACATGGGCGTGGCACATGGGCAGAGGTATGCGCTTACATCGGCCGGAGTGGAAGAGGCGTCTGGCCACCGGAGGCGCAGGAGGAGACATGGAGGGAGCGCATGGCAGAGAGTCAGACTGCGCCGGTAGCCGCTACGCCTCCATCGGGTTGCCGGCCGTGATCCGCACTGCCCGAGGTGGAGCGGCCGTGGACGCTGCGGATCCGCCGCCATGAACGGATCTGTCGCCCGAGAGAAAGAAGGATGGGGGGAACCTGAGGTGGAGCAGCCGCGGATCTGTCGGCATGATTGTTGCGCCCAGCGAAAGAAGGATCGAGGAGGAATTTTTTTTTTGTTTGACGGGTGGGGAGGTCCCGATGCGGATGGAATTGATCCACATGTTTCGGGCGGGGACGCGGAGCGCTAGGGCGGTTCGCAGACCACGCGTTTGCCAGGCAGAACATTTGATCCCAGACGTTGATCTGATTGATACATCATTGATGCAATATAGACAGTAGGATGTTTAAATTGACTTAATTCGAGGGTTCTGATTATCCTGTATACAGTTTGTTGTGTGGCGTTAGAGAAGATTATGTTTACTCTTTTAATAGTAGTATAGATATAGATGACATTTTTATATTCAATTTTTAAATGCTAATTTTTGTAGAATTTGTAACATTACCAGCAAATTATATTTTGTACCATTGTTAGCATAATTTATCAAAGAAAGGCACGTGATGAATCTAAATTGATTGGGGACATAAAATTCTAATTAGAAATCGCCTTTGTAGGCTAGCCCCGTGCGAATGCACGGGTTGATGACTAGTATTAATAATTTCATCGAAAATTTATGTCTGTGTCTGTGTAGTAGTTCGAGTTGAAAAATGATTAGCCCTATTAGAATACAAGTCGAATGTACATGGATCATCAAATAAATATCTCTACCTATTATGCAAAGGATTTTCTTCCTCCATTCCATCATCTCTCGGCCATCACGAGTCACGCCACTCCGCACGGATGCACACCCACCTCCCTTCTTCCGTTCATTCCGATCGACATCGACATTGACTGTCCTCTTCTTGACCCACACCCATTGAGGGGTCTCATTGAGCGGGGCCCATACACAGCTCTGGTTCGCATTATTTGGTTGCCGATTTTCTAGTGGGTGTTCTAGTGGATAGCGGTCAAAGTCGAGAAGGACGCGGCCTCCTGGAGTCCTGGTCATCAGACCTAGTTAGGCTGGTGCTAGAAGGCAAGGGCGAGCTTTCGTGATCTTGGATCCGTGGAGTTAGGGCCGGTGTTCGCAGAGTCGACAGTGTCAAGAGCTGGTGTCCGAGATCAATACTTGGTGATATCTTTACCTAATAATAAAATGGTGAGATCTTCGAGTTTCCTGAGTATCAAGGAGCAATTTCGGGAAACAATAAGGAAGGAAATAATAAGTTGTCCCGATAAGAAAGGATAAGGCAGGGAAATAAGGATGGAGAGAGGGGATTTCAAGTCAAGTCTATGACAGAGAAGAAAAAAGAAAGAGTGGATAGGTAAATAAGGAAGCAAATGGAATTGAATCCAAAGAATGAAGGAAAGAAGGATTTCGGTCTTGAAGAAGGAAATAGATTTGATCTTGCTGCTGAAACAAAAGGAAAGAAGAGGGATTTCGCTCTTGAAGAAGGAATGGTGCAGCCGGAAGCATGCACAGCGGGGCGAGATGCGGGCTGCATGCATCTACTCGGTCGGACGTCGTCGCTTATGACCTTCTCCGCTGTCATGGAAGCCATAATGAGGTATTCTTTTAGTTATTACAAAAACACCTTTGTTTTTAATTTTTTTCCTCTGAAAAAATGATTCGTATAGGACATGGTGCGGAGCGAGCGATTCGTCTACAACTCAGAGTAGACCAAATATCGATGGAAGCTTTCACGTTCGACTTCGATCTAGATACGCCGCCCACTTTCAAGCTGATGAAATTTAGCTTTCTTTGAAACATGTAAACTTTGTATTAATTCTTTTATTTACAAAAATGTTTGCATTACTCTTGTCATGCCTATTAGTATTCTTAGAGTGTTCACTAATATAAAAACAAGACATATTCGAGCAATCTCCACTATCAAGAAGCCTAAACAGTAATTAATGGTGTATCAAGCACGTACTAGGTTTGACCGATGATGTCAAATTGCATGGCATAAAATCTATTTAGGCCATTTCATCATTAGTGACAATGAATAATGTTATTTCTTCCTATTATACTTTTATAAATTTTATTATGCGCTAATAATCTGAATTTGTGTTATTCACTCAGATCAATTGACTCGGGATCATGTTTCATGTTCTGAACTACCGTCCTGAATATAACCCTACTATCAATTGGTCCATTGTTATTGTCACGAGTAACATGTGTCCTGCGACCCAGTTTCTCGACCTTGCCACCCCTAATTCATAGTAAAGCACATGTTGGTCCCTTGGAGTCTCCCGTTGCAACGCACGGGCATATATACTAGTTGAACTAATATTTGATTGGGGAATTAGGAGGCCCGGCTAATGAAAAATACATGTCTTAGAGACAATATTTTTTAAAACAAATTTGATTGGATAACTTGGTCGCGCCGGTGTGAGAAGACGAGGCCGAGCTTTCTCGATCTCATCTTAGTGGAGTTAGGGCATTCGTCCTGGCTTCGCCCGTCGTGTCGGCAGAGCCAGGAGCTAGAGTAACATGCTCTAAGTCGATGATGCGTGTCTCTGCAGTTATTATGCAGTTATTATACAACGCTAATATTGTTGGAGTGTATGCCTTATTATGATCGCTTTGCCTATGTAGAAATGATTTGATTTTCAATAACAAAAATGCTTCACCTTTGCAGGTTATTTTCCGTTGTACGCACTCGCTTCATACGTGGTCTACACTACAACGAGTGGAGTACCAATCGCTGTTTAAGGCGATGTGTACGCGGTTGGAGCAGGTGGCTACGAAGGTTTTTACCCAACATGGGTGGCATCATATTCTCCGGATCGGTCCACCACCCCTTTCGACATAGGCATAGTGTCGGTCTACATGACTCTACTGTCGTCCATTTGTCGTTTTTTTCTTTCTTTTTATCAGACTTTAGGTGATTGGCTATGTGCATCTTAATTATGCAGAGGCTGAGTGTCGGTGCGGAGCGACACCTATGGGATCACAAAAATCCCTACTACGGTTAGCGGGGCGCGGGGTCGTGGGAAGAGCGGATCTAACAGGTAGCCCACAGTTTGTTTATCCAGGTTCGGGCCGCAAGGATGCGTAAAACCCTACTCCTGCTTTGGTGGATTGTATATTGGTGTTTTTGAGCTGGCTATGGGGCGTGAGGAGCACCAAAAAGTCGAATCCTTCTCCTGGTCGCCTCGGGCCTCCTTTTATAGAAAAAGGGGTCACCATAGTGGCACACAGGAGGTGGAAAGGGTACAGTGATGCGAGGTTATCCCTCGCATTACATGACAAGGCGCATTTAATGCGTCTTGCTTAGGTGTCCTTGCTTTATCGGGGACGGGGAGAGATCTGTCTCATCCGTCGCCGCTCCTTCTCGTCTCGACACGCGCCCTGGCCAGCGATGCCTGAGATGCCACGTAGGTAGGCAGGCAGCTGAGGTGGCGCAATGGTGGGTCTTCACGAAGATATGCATGCCGCCACGCAAGTGCCTGCCCAGCTGGTTGGGTCGGCAGCTGCATGCATGCGGTGGTGGAGGTTTGGTCGGCATGGGCCTGATGGTGGCCCTGCGGGTGTCCTCGGTAAGGGCCTTGCCGGGGCCCTGGCAAGGGTCTTGCTGAGGCGCCTGCTGTCATCCCCGGCAAGGCGCTTGCCGGGGGCCTTGTGGTCTTCCTCGGCTGGGATCCCGCCAAGGGTTGTCATCTCCTTAGTGCATGTCTGATCTTGAATGTCTTCACGAAGATCTGCATGCCGCCACGGGGATGTCTCCCGAATCCTTGCCCTTTGGGGGCAGTGGACTCAAGGGTGACTTGCTCCGTAGGCGCGGGACGAGTCGCCGCGGCAAGGGTCTTGCCGGGGTTGCTAGAACTGTCTCCCGGCAAGGTCTTGCCGGGGGAGTTCACTTCGTCCCTTTTGCTCTTCGTGGTCTTGGCCTTGGCGTCGTTCTAGTTCTCTTGAGCTTCGGTCTTACCCTGGCTCACCTCCCTTGCCTTGCTTGGTGTGGTGGTTCCCGTGACTCAGACTGCCCGTGCATAGTTATAGGGGTACAAAAAGTGTACCCCTCTTTTTGTGCACCGATAGGAGCCCCCGGGCCTGGTCCACACATAAGCGCAGCGCGTTGTTTGGTCTAGGCCCAAAAATGGTGCGCGGGCAGGCGGGGCGGTTTTTACCGCGGTAAGATTCTTCGCGCGCTGCGCTTCCCACGACTCCCGCGCGTGGCGCGGCGTGGGGAGGTGTGTGAGATGTGGGCTGCATGCGTGGGGTTGGTTCCCACAGGCATGCGTCACACCACAGTTAATGTGAAAGGAGGTGGTCCGTGTTTTCCCCCATAAGAAAGGAATAACCGCGGGCGCGCTGCTCACTTTCTCCTCTTTCCTCGTGCCTTTTCCAATCTTAGAGCCGCCGTTTCCTCTCTCCCTTCCTTCCTAAGCTTTCGTCGTCGCCCGCCGTCATTGCTTCGCCATCCCCCTTCCTCAGCCCTCCAAACTTCTTGGTCGCCATGGCGCCCAAATCCGTCAAGGGCAAGGGGGTGGCTAAGGGCGCTGGGACTGTGGAGCCGCCGGAGAGCATGTTGTCGGGGGACCGGACGAAGTCCGCCTTTTTCTTCCCCTTGACGGTTGATGTTCAAGAGCTCCGGGCCTCCTTCAGGCCCCTATGGGGAGCGAAGATGGGGGGGGGGGGAGAACTCGGGCCACCCGGCGACGCGCGTCATTCCTGCTGCTTGTGCCGATCCTGCTCCAAATCGGTATTCCTTTTTCGTCGATTATCTTTCTTGTGGGTTATGCCCCCCTTTCTCCGATTTCTTCTGTGACATTATGCACACCTTCGTCTTTCGCCTCTTGGATTTTACTCCGAATGCGGTGGCGTGCATGGCTTTCTTCGCGCATCTTTGCGAAGGCTTTGCCGGGGTGCAGCCCAACACGGCTCTCTTCCGCCATTACTTTTTCC